GGCTTCCAACGACCCGGGGGCTCCCGGGAGGGATTCAGTCAGCCCTCCTCCCACACCCCGTGAGCCGACGTTCTGGCTGCGTCATCACAAACCAGGTTTCTGAACTCGAACATCACAGGTTTACTACAACTCAGTAAACACAGTAAACACAGGTTTACTACAAGCCTGTTTACTACAACTCTCTCTTATTCCACAACCAAAAAAACCAAAGCTTAAACCAGAATGACCTTAATGACAGCATTTTTCAAGGATGACTGCTACCTCTCCTTCCATTCATTATGAACCCACTTAAAACAGGGACCAAGATTTTAAATTAAATGGCAAACAGAAGCAAAGTCTGACACTTTACTTTGACAAACAAATCTTCAATTATGAAATTTTTTTAACTTCATAACACTGAAGACTTAACTTTTAGGAGCACACGTCCCCACCACACGCTGTGTCTCAGCAGCCGGCCTTGGCGGGGCTTTTCCACCCCACCCTACCCTCCACACAGGAGCAGTCGAGAAGCCTTCTTTACAAAACCAGCCGAGGGCCCCCATCTCACAGGCCCCCTCGCCAGCCGGTGTAACCAGCTGCCCCCCGCCCCAGCCTCCTCCTTGGCAGCCCCTTCCCTGAGGGTCAGCCCGTCCTGGTTTACCAGGGACCAGGCATCACTCTCCCTGAGCGTCACAGCCAGCACCCTGAGTGCGATTTCCAATTTCACTCTGCAGAGAGACCAGCCGTGGTGCGAGGGGCAGGAACAGCTACGTGACTGGCTAGCAGGTGAGTGTCTGCGTGGGAGCGGATTTCATGAATGGTCCGGGCAGCAGCAAATGCGTGCCCAGCACATCACCCTTGCTGCCCTCCACAACCAAGGGCCTCTGGGGATGAACACTGGAAAAAAACAAGGCCCAGGTGTGCCACCTTTCAAGGCAGATCTCCAAATAGCATTCCTGCGAATCCCAACACATTCAGAGGACAACATCAGGATGAGACGAAGGCAGGAGAGTGGAGACAGCCCAGGGTCCACAGCAGTCGTGCTGGGCCTTCCCCTGTGCCCTCCCACCGGTCCCCTGAGGACGCACCAGGGGAGGCCACTTGCTGGACCGAGGGCAGGGCCACAGGGGAGAGGCGAGGTCGTGATCTCCTCCAGGCGCTGACTCAGGAGAGCGGGGAGGGGAAAACAGGCCTGGGGCAGAATGAACCCAGGCCAAGGCCTGAGGGGACTGGCTGGACAGTCCTATGAATGACACCTGTCGGCGTCTCGTAGGCTCAGGCTGAGTGAATTCTCTTTGGGGGAATAGAAGACCTTTAAACATGAAATCTCAAGGGACCTGTGGGGAGAGTGCTGGGCAACTCCACACACACGGGCAGGCCTGAGAGGGCAAACTCGGAAGCAAGCCTGGGCAGGGCCCAACAGCAGGCCTCGCCAGGCCTCCTCTCTCTCATCCCAGGACCTCCTTCCTGGGGGCCCACAGGGCATCAGGGAGACGGTGAGAGCGGAACTGGGGCCCACACCCTCACCTGCTATGCAGGACTTTTCTTTACCTTGAAACAGGTTTCTGAAGCTGCTGAGGCTGACCCGGGCAAAGTAACAGAGCTCGGCGGGGTCAGAGGCGAGGGCCAGTGAAGCAGGGCAGGCAGAGGCCAGGTCACAGTGGCCCTGAGCCTGTCTGCCACCCGCCTGCAGCTCCAGGTCAGCAGCCCCAGCAGGGAGCACCCCTCCCACTGCCCACACGGTTTCCCAAAGACTTGAGATTCAACCAAAGAAACAGACTAAGAACTAGAGGCAACAGCAGCTGCAAAAGCAGCATTTGACGACCTCCACGCTGAGTTCTCACCCTCACTCCCATCCGCTTTCACCTGCTTTTTCTTCATCTTCCTCGAGGATGAAGACAGGCTGGCCATCTCTCAAGGCAGCCATCAGGCTGAGTTCCCAAGGGCAGAAAGCTCCCCACGAAAGAAGGGATGGTGCCAGCTGCTACAGGGGCTGCCAGGAAGAAGCCCAGTGGGGTTCCGTGGATGCCACTCAAACTCCTGCCACACCAGCAAGCGTGAACCCTTTCTGGAGGGCTGCGGACACCATCCTTCCAGAAATGCTGTCCAGAGACTACACGGGCTGAGCAACTTCTCATCAACAAGAGTCTTGTCTGCTGGGTGGACTAGCAGCTCTCTGATCTCAGTTCCTCCCCTTTCTAAGCCACAAGGAAGAGATATTCTGGTGGCCTTCCTCATCACTCCAGAGAAGCTGGTGACCAGGACCAAGTTCCAGGCAGTTCTTTCTCCATACCCAAATGTGAGTTCCCAGAAGCCCAGCAGGCCCGCAGACATGACTGACCATCGGGGAGGCCTCCCTCCTCCGCCCCCAGGCAAACCCGCCAGCTGGACCACTGCTGGGGTGCACTCCGCCTCCTCTCTGCCCTTCTGAAGTGGCAGGCCACTAGGATTCAGGTCAGGGAACCAGGCACTGGACACTTGCCCTTCCAGGCACAGGGTGGGCAATCCGAGCAGTCTTCTCCTTTAAGCAGGGATGGAAGAGAGTGGACAGACCCAGGCCCACCCACGGAGACCGTCAAGGAAGGGGAGACAACAAAGAGGAAAAAACCCCACCTATTTAAGGGGCTGAAAGGCAGAACCCCGGCGGCTTCGGAGCCCACTCTTCAGCTCTGCATCACGCAGAGCTGAGCTCCAACGGGCTGGTGGGGGTGGAGGAGGCACGCCCCCGACAGCGGGAGCGGAGATCCCAGGCTGGGCCCAGAGTGGCAAGCAAGGTGTCAGCTCTGCCTCTAACCTAAGCGGGGCGAGGGAGGTCCGTGGGGTGGGCCCTGACCAAACCTCACTAGAGAGGACGGCAGCCCCTGAGAGGGTGCCCCCGAGTCAGCGTCACAAGGCTGTGTCCCACGCCGACCCCTCCCCGAGATGCCAGCACAGCACCTGGCAGGTCGTGGGCTCCTTAAGAAAAGCGACAGCAACCCGTATGCCCAAGCTTACTAGAAACTACAGGCGAGGACACCGCTTGCAGAGCCTGAGCAGGTCCCACAAGAGCATCACACCCGGAGCTCTACAGGTGAAGACCACACACCCTCCTGTTTTCCTAGGGCTCAGACACAGTCAATTCCGGGGAGGAGACAGGCTAGAAACCTACAGCCACCCCCCACCACCTCTGCGCAGAAAGTTCCACAAGTAACAACTGGAGGGAGAGAGAAAAAGGAGGTGGGACTCCTCCGAGGGGCTGAAGTACTAGCTCAAACTGAAAGTTCCTCAGTCATGTCCGACTCTTTGCCACTCCGTAGACTATACAGTCCATGGGATTCTCCAGGCCAGAATACTGGAGTGGGCAGCCTTTCCCTTCTCCAGGGGATCTTCCCCACCCAGGGATCCAACCCAGGTCTCCAGCATGGTAGGTGATTCTTTACCAGCTGAGCCACCAGGGAAACTCAAGAATACTCGAGGTGTAGCCTATCCCTTCTCCAGTGGATCTTCCTGACCCAGGAATCGAACCGGGGTCTCCTGCATGCAGGCAGACTCTTTACCGGCTGAAATACCAGGGAAGCCCTAGCTCAAAAGGCTTCAGGAATTCCTGCAAGTAATTTGCTTCCAACCCACACCAGGTGAAACAAGTTGCAGAAAGAGCAGCTATTACTGTGTGTCACACATGCTTTAAAGTAGTATCAACTTAGGTTTCACAACACACTTAAGAGAATAAACAGACAGAAGAGATAAACAGTCACTTACTCTCACAAATAACCCCAATACCAAGCAACTGTGGGATTTATAAAACTAATGTTTTACAACCATTAACACCCTGAAAGATCCTTAGGTGACCCCCAAATCAGCTCCCAACTGTACAAGAAAGTTTATAACTTAAATCCTAAAATGCTGAGGAAAAAAAAAACCTGCCTATAGATACCTTGTTTCCAGGTGCTCAGAAAAGCACAGGGCTCGGTAAGTAGCACTCACACCTGAGACAGCCTCACCTGGGACAGCTCCCACACACACACACCCACCTTCCTCACAGGTCCTGGCCTCTGTAATTGCTCTAACGGTAAAAGGAACTTCCAATCCCCATTAGGCTGATGTGGAAATACTGTTTTTTCCCCCCCACAGCTAAGTCTTGGACTCTTTTTTTTTTTTTTCCATTTATTTTTATTAGTTGGAGGCTAACTACTTTAGAGTGGAAATACTTAAAACAGAGATGACACTTCCAGAGAATAACCAGTTGCTACAAACGTTTTTTACTTTTTCTGAACATTACTAACATTAAAAAAAAAAAAAAACTGCAGATGACGCTATCTGGCAATTCCGGCACAAAATTAAACCACAATATGCAAGCCCCTTCACCAGAAAGTCGTTTCTAAATTCGCTGTTGGTTAAACTGTATCGCTACCAAAAAAATCTAGTCCTGTTCTAAATGGATTTCCGCGGGGGGTAAAAAAGTTAACATTTAACCAACATTTGCCCTCAACTCGATTCAAGTTCCCGACAATACTAAAAAGCTTCTGCAAGTGAACATAAAACACCCCTCTGCATTCCATTTGACAAAAGGTTCCTAACCTGGCGCGGCTGGGGGGAGGGAGGGGCGGGTAGTACTGGAAAGTATGCGACCTCCTTTCCAGTTTGTTTGCTAAGTGGCTTCAGTCACGTCCGACTCTTTGCGACCCCATGGACTGTAGCCCGCCAAGCTCCTCTGTCCAGCAAGAATACTGGAATGGGTTGCTGTTTCCTTCTGCCCCTTTCCAGTTTAGCCAGCGTGAAAAGGAAAACACCTGCACGCGCAGAACGCCCCGGGCCTTTCCTGCACCGTTAGTTCTAGAATCTCGACACACCGCCCGTTTATACTTTGAATATGAAAATAAGAAACTAAACAGGCTCCTCGCAGAGTCGGACGTCGGCCTCCGACACCCACCTTCCAAACGACATGGGAGCCCCGGGTGGGGACGTTCGATCGCCCAAGGCGCAGCCCCGGGAGGCCCCTCGTGGCCGAGGCCGACCCCCGCCGCCCCGGCGCGCGCACTCACCCCTGGATGCCCGGGCTGTACGTGCGGCTCTTCCATGGCGTGCCGGGCCGCGGCGCCTGGGGCCCGGGGCCGCCCCCTCCGCTGAGAGCGGCCGCGCGGCTGCCGGACAGCAGGTAGTTGAGGCCGTACGTGCTGGCCTTGTTCTCGCGTTTCCGGCGGCCCGGGTGGAACTGGTGCTGCGGCGGCGGGGAGCCGGCGGGCGCGGGCCCGCGCGGCCCGGCGTGCCCATTGGGGGCGCTCGGGGGGCCGTCCGCGAAGTGGAAGAAGGCGCCGCCGCGGCCGCCGCCCGCCCGGCCGAGCGACGCGCTGCTGGAGGACGAGGAAGAGCAGCCGGGGCTCTCGGTGCCCGACTCGGCGTTGGACGAGGACGACGAGGACGAGGACGAGGACGACGAGGACGACAGCGACGGCGATTTGTGCAGGCGCCGGGCGCCCTCGGCCGCGGGCCCGAGCGCCGTCAGCAACGCGGGGGGCAGTGCGGCCGCGCCGGGCGCGGGCGGCGGCGGAGGCGGCGGGGGCGACGCGGCGGGCAGCGCTGGCCCCCCCAAGCCGCCGCCGCCGCCGCCGCCCGGCCCGGCCGCCCCCGTCCCCGCCGCGGCCGCTGCCGCCGTGTCCAGCGCCGGCGAGTTGAGGCAGAAGTAGGGCGCGAAGCCCGAGCCGCCGCCGCGGCCCACGCCCTGCGAGGTCTCCCAGATCTGCATCCACAGGGCATTGGCCGGCCCCTTCTGCTCCGGCTGGATCCAGGCCACGCGCGGATCCATCCACGCGCCCGCCCCGCGGGCCCGCGCGCCCGCCCGCCCCGCCCCCGGGCCGCGCCGCGCCGCGCACGGACGGACGGACGGACGGACGCGGGGACGGACGCACGGGCGGGCGGGCCTGCGCCGCGCCTCGGGCCGGCTCGCAGCGGCGGCGGCGGCTCCCGTCGGGGTCCCGGCTCGCGGCGTCGGTCTCTGAGGAGGCGGGGAGCGCCCCGGGCAGGCGGCGGCGGTGCTGCTAGGGCCTGTCAGGCTCCCTTCAGGAGGCGCGGGGGCCGCGGCGGCGGCGGCGTTCCACACGGGCTGGCGGCGGAGGCCATCGGAGGGGGGCGGGCCCAGGCGCCGCGCGGCCCGGGACCCGCGGGAGGGCGGCCGCCGCCGCGAGCCGAGCCCTCAGGCGAGCTTGCGCCGCTAGCTCCGCGTCCCTGCCAGCAGCAACGGCGGCGGCGGAGGCGGCGGCGAAAAGACACGCTCGGCGGCGACGGGGCGCGGGGGAAGGAGGGGGCGCCGCCGCCGCCTCCGCTCCAATGAGGGGCGGGGAGGGAGCCGGGTGGGGGGCGGGGGCGAGCGGGCGGGCAGGAAGCGCGGCCTCCCGTGCCCGGGCCCGGACGGCTGTGCGCACGCGCGGCCGATTTCAAATCCTCACTAGACACCGCCGCCTGGGTTACCGCGCCTGCGCGCTGGCGTTCCCTTCCATCTGTGGAGAGGGAGTAGGGGGAGGGAAGGAGATAGGGGCGGGGCACCGCGTCGGAAGGATACGCGACGGGGGAGGGGATGGAAAGAGGGGGGCGCCGGCTTCGTAGGCCTTTCTGGACCAGACTGGGGCTGCGGCGGGGGCAGAAGGGGAAGCCGCGGGGCTATGCACCGCCCTCGGCCCTGTCTGCATCCGCCGGCCGCACATCCCTCCACCACGCGCAGGCCGAGGCGTGGAGACATGCGTGTTGGATGCCCGGCGGCCGCTAGTCCGCGCAGCGCATGCGCAGGAGCCCGAGTCCCGTGCCGCCTGTGGGGGACGTTTCCGCGTCCTCTCTCAGCAGGCCGGCCCGCCGGCCATACGTAGGGAGCTGACCGGCCCCTCGGCGGGGCGGTCGCTGCACCAGGGGCAGAATAGAGATGCCCCAAAGCCCCCCTCGCATCCACCAGGGTCCCGCGGGCGGCCGGTCCCGCCGCGGTCACCGGTGTCGGCGCCGCCCTCGTGCTCGCTGGCGTCCTTGTGAGGAGCCGGTCCCACACCCTGCGGGGGGGTGGGGGACCCTCATCTGCTCGTTTCCTCACAGGCTTTTTCTTTTAATTTTTAATATTATAATTAAATACATCTAGATTCCCCCCAAAAAATTTTAGGAGACATAAACAGAGCTAATAGTAATAAATCATAGCAAAAGTAATAAAGCATGAATCTCATAACAATGCAAACAATGCTATGGACTGCTGGGGTGGGCTAAGGTCAGCGTCCCTGTGAGGTAGGCATTGTTATCCTCATTTCGTTATCCTCATTTCATAGTTGAAGAGATAAATGTTAAGTCCTTTCTCACTCTCACACAAGACTTAGGTGTTAACATTGAACTTCTGTTGTGACTGTAACGCCTAAAGCGCATACCCGTGGTGCTAAGCCTTCTCTGAATTCAAAAACTGATATGAGTTCTAGATTTTTCATACCCCATCTTACTAACCAGGAATCGTTTTGAATATTCACAGCTTCTCTCTTCCACTCTGTTTCCAAAGGAAGATACACATCCCGCCTCACAGGCTTATTTTGTTTGTTTGTTGGCCGTTGTTATGCTTTTAAAAATGATTTCTGAGGGGAAAGAGGAAGCTCAAGCTTGCAGCTTAGCTCACTTGTGCGATTTCCCGAGGCCGGCCCGGCGGCGCTGCCCATCAGGGAAGCAGGCCGCGGTGACCTGGGATTTCTAAGCCGGTCCGGGGTCCGCAGGATTCATCAGCGACTCGCCCAGCTGTCTGCCCTGTGCGTTCCCGTGTCCACAGGGTGCTCTGAGCCCGCCGCTCTGACGCTGGCGGTGTTTGGCACACACCGCTGACCGCACACGTTCGGTGAGGTCCAGAGCGAGTCTGCTTGTGCCAGGGGAGCTAAAACTGCCTGCCGGACCCGGCGGCCCCACCCGGCCTGGCCCGACCCGGGGAGGGCGTTCCTGGGCCAGGCGACTTCTCTGGCCGAGCCAGGGCCCTGAGGCTGTTCGCCTCCTTCCAACCCCGCAGCCTGGACGCCTTTCCCGTCGGAACAAAGCAGATTTTAAATGGTCTCATAATCGTTGGTATCTCAGATGAGTAGACTGCGCTAAGTGCTTGACACTGGAAACCTACCAACAGGAAAAAGTCCGTGTATTGCATACCAAGGTTTTTGGGTTTGTGTTTTTTTTTTTCCTTCCCTCAAATGATGTTACTTGATAAAAGTGGCTATTTGTGTTCAGACATTGCTCAGTACCTGTATATGGTACATGTGGAAATTATGATCAAGGATTAGAACATGTCCAGTTAAATAAACCACAGAAAATACACAAAACAAGTCAGTTGTTATTCTGGAACTCGTTGCTTCCAGTGACTCAGGCCAAAGCCCTCGGAGTCATCCCAGCCTCCTCTTTCCAGAGCCAATACACCCTCTAGGCTTCACCTGCCAAACGGCCAAAAGCCTCATCCACCCCACCCTCCACCCACAGCCCCTTCAAACTTCCATGTGCTATGCTAAGTTGCTTCAGTTGTGGCCGACTCTGTGACCCCATGGACCACAGCCCGCCAGGTTCCTCTGTCCCCTGTCCATGGGATTCTCCAGGCAAGAATACTGGAGTGGGTTACCATGCCCTCCTCCAGGGGATCTTCCCAACCCAGTGGTCAAAGGGGGCATCTCGTGTGCCTCCTGCGTTGGCAGGCCAGTTCTTTACGGCTAGTACCACCTGGGAAGCCCCAAGCTTCCATAGGTTTAACCTAAACAGTCCCTTCTAGCTGGCTTTCCCCAACCCATTCTTGCCCCCTTTGGCATTGTCTCCCCACAGCCACCCGAGTGAGCCTTAAAAAAGAGAAAGTGCTGATTTTAAATAAATAAGAATCATGACACTTTTCTGCTCCAAACCCTCTGGGGGCTCTGCTTCTCACTTAGCCGTACTAGGACCTGCATGTCCCTGCCTTGTCTGGTCACCTAGCCTACTCCATCACAAGCAGTGGATACACCGCCTTTGCACTTACTGTTCCATCTGCCCGGGACGCTTCTACCCCAGACGTGCCTCCCGGCTTTCAGGTCTTAGGGAGGATTTCCAAGTGGCTCTGTTTAAACTGCAAACCTGACCCACAGCATTCTCTCCTTCCCTTCCTTGCTCTGTTTTTCTTAGCATTTATCTCCATTAGTTTCCTTGACCACATAACAAAATACCACAAACCAGATGGCTTAAAACAACGGAAATTCATTCTCTCACAATCCTAGAGGCTAAAAATCAGAAATCAAGGTGTCACCAGGGCCATGCCTTTCTTGGGGGGCTCTGGGGGAGAAACTTACTCTTCTGAAGTGTCTGTACCTGTGCTCAGTCGCATCTCTTTGCGACCCCCAGGGACTGCAGCCCCCCAGGCTCAGCTGTCCATGGAATTTTCCAGACAAGAAGGCCAGACAGGTTGCCACTTCCTACTCCAGGAGATCTTCCCAACCCAGGGATCAAACCCTTGTCCCTTGCATCTCCTGCATTGGCAGGCTAATTCTTTACCACTGTGCCACCTAGATGTTGCTGGCAGTTCTGGGTGTTCCTCAGGCTGTGGATACATCTCTCCAGCATTCCATGAAGTTTTCTCTGTGTGTCTTTTCCCTTCTTACAAAGACACCGTTTACCTTGGATTAGGGCTCACACTTCACCTCATCTTAACTTGACTACCTCTGTGGTGACCCTATCTTCAAATAAGGTCACATGCTACTGGTACCCAGGGGGAGAGCTTGACCAGATCTCTTTTTGAGGGGGAGGGGGCAGGGAACACAAATGAACCCACTATGCCATCCGATGTAAATTTTCTTTACGTTCATTGCCATCTGTGTCCCCTCACCGCATAGGAATGTAAGCTCCACAAGGAGAAGAATTTCTGTCTGTCCTTCTCCCTGGTGGGGGCCAGCTTCGGGACTGTGTCTGGCACACGGTGGGCCCTTATTGAACTGGTGGGATGACCAGTAGTCACCTCACTGACCCAATGGGAATGAAAGTAGGCAGTCGCATTGCCGAGCTTCCAGGATCTATTACACAGCTTGTCATTGTTACTTGTTTTCTACATTTTAAGCTTCCCCCCACCCCAACCTTGACCTCCCACTCCGTTTTTGCTGTTTACCTCTAGCTAATCCCTCTTTGCCTGATTTCCTCAGCCACCAGTCAACTTCTTGTAATTATATCCAGATTTTGTTATTTATGCATTTGATCATAAACCTCTTATGTGATTTAGAAGAAACATTTCCTTATGTAAATGAAGAAACAATACTGGGGCTTCCCTGGTGGTCAGTGGTTAAGAATTCACGTTGCAATGCAGGAGACCTGGGTTCCATCCCTGGTTGGGGAACTAAAATCCCACATGCCCTGGAGCAACTAAGCCCGTACACCAGAGCTGCTGAGCACGGGCGCTCTGGAGAGAGTCCATGTGCGGCAACAAAAGGTCTCGAATGACACAACTGAGACCCAATGCGGCCAAATAAAAATAAATAAATATTTTTAAAAAGAAAGAAAGAAATAGTACTGACAGCAAAATGCAGTCTCAGATGCCAGGGAGAGGGACATCTTTCTCTTTACTTAACTGACAAAGCATTTACCCTTCTTTGGCCAAAATCCACTCTCTCTCTTTCCTGATATTAAGGAGAGGTAATATTTGTGATTACATCACGGTTTTAGTGTTCTCCTGAGCAAATGGTTTCCAACGTGTGTTTCATGAATGATATGTACCAAAATCAGACATGCTGGTCAAAATGCAGATGTCAGGGGCTCATTTTATCTACTGAATCTTTCTGGAAGTTAGGCCCAGGAATCAGTATTTTAAGTAAACTCCCTGGACAATTCTTAAGCACAGTAAAGTTTGAAAACCTCTATCTAATTCAAGGCTCCTAACTCAGTTGCTCACAGGAACTAAATAGGTGATATAAGCAACTGACAAAAATCAGATTGTGCATGTGTTTGTATTAGTCAGCTGCTGCTGAGTAACAAACCACCCCCAAACTCAGTGGCTTAAAATAAGTGTTCAGTATTGCTCACAATTCTTAAGTGCTCACCTTTCTTTATGATCCAACTCACATCCCTACAGGACTACTGGAAAAACCATATATTTGACTATATGGACCTTTGTCAGCAAAGTGATGTCTCTGTTTTTTAATACAATGTCTAGGTTTGTCATAGCCTTCCTTCCAAGGAGCAAGGATCTTTTTGAGTTGTGTTGCTGGAGCAGGCTCTTAAGAGTCCCCTGGACTGCAAAGAGATCAAACCAGTCCATCCTAAAGGAAATCAACCCTGAATATTCATTGGAAGGACTCATGCTGAAGCTCCAATACTTTGGCCACCTGATATGAAGACCCAACTCATTGGAAAACGACCCTGATGCTGGGAAATAATGAAGACAAAAGAAGAGGGTGAAGAGGATGAACTGATTAGATAGCATCACCGACTCAATGGACATGAGTTTGAGCAAACTCCTGGAGATAATAAAGGACAGGGAAGCCCAGCATGCTGCAGTCCATGGGGTTGCAAAGAGTCAGGCACAACTGAGCAACTGAACAACAATTGCAGCCAGCGATTCAGAACATGCTACCACACAGACAGAGCCAGACAGGAAGAGTCAGCGGGTACCTGTGGCTTGTGGATAATCTCTGGTCGCTGGGAAGCAGATAATACGATGAGGAAAAAAAAGAGAGAAGGCTAGAGCCACCTACCTGAGCTGTGCCTCAGGGATTCTTGTCCATGAAGACACGTGTCCTTCAAAGAGCTCTGTTCCTACTGAGGTGGAGGCTGAACTTTCTGAAAGTTTCAAGCGCTGGGGCCACTACTTAAAGGAAATCTAGAATATATATGTATAATATATGTTTAATTGAATCACTTTGCTGTACAGCAGAAATTAACACATCATTGTAAATCGATTTAATAAATGTTTAAAAAAAGAGTAAACCTTGGGGGTGAGCATTTCTGTAAAATGAGTGATAATCTTCATCATTGATTATGGACATTTTCAAATTTATAAAACAGTAGCAAGAATGTATATAATGAAACCCTATATACTCATTACCCAGATTCAGTTATTATCAAGTCATGGTCAAATGTGTCCACTAACATCCTTACCCACTTTCTCTCCTTCCAAATATATTGAAGCAAATCCCAGATAATATTTCATCCATAAATATCTCAGTATGTATTTCTGAGTTATAAGCACTCTTGTTTTAAAACATAACTATGGTATTAATCACATCAATGTATTAGTGATAACATCTTACTTAATATCATCAAATATCTGATCCATAACCAATATCCGTTGTTGTTGTTCAGTTGATAAGTTGTGTCCGACTCTTTGTGATTATGTTCGACTCTTTGTGACTCCCTTGGAGTGTAGTACGCCATGCTTCCCTGTCCCACTGTCTCCTGGAGTTTGCTTAAATTCGTGTCCTTTGAGTCAGTGATGCCATCCAACCATCTCATCCTCTGTCGTCCCCTTCTCCTCCTGCCCTCAATCTTTCCCAGCATCAGGGTCTTTTCCAATGAGTCTGTTCTTCACATCAAGTGGCCAAAGTATTGGAGCTTCAGCTTCAGCATCAGTCCTTCCAATGAATATTCAGGGTTGATTTCTTCTAGGATAGACTTGTTTGATCTCTTTGCTGTCCAGGGCACTCTCAAGAGTCTTCTCGAGCACCGCAGTTCAAAAGCATCAATGCTTTCTTTATGGGCCTTCTTTATGGACCAACTCTCACATCTCTACATGACTACTGGATCATTGATATCTGATTATCTTATAAAATTTTAATTGGTTTTTTTTTTCCCCATAAGCTCTATAATTGCAATGGTTGGTTTGAATCTTCCCAGGTTTTTAATCTGTGATTTCTCCCTCATCTTTTTCTCTTTTGGGGGTCAAGGGGATGGCAATCTTTTGTTGAAAAATAAGGCTCCTTTGTCCCACAGTCTGTTTTGCAGGTACATCTCCCTGTGGTATCATTTGACATGTTCGTTGTCATCTCTATTTTCTTTTTTTCCCTTTTTTTAAAATCTTGACCCCACTTATTGATTTGTTTATTTTTGCTTTTTGGCTGTGGCATGTAGGATCTTAGTTCCCCAACCAGGGATCAAACCTGTGCTCCCTGCAGTGGAAGCGTGGAGTCTTAACCCTTGGACCTGCAAGGAAGTCTCCTCTGTTTTCTGTAAACTGGTCTGTTGGATCTAGACTCTCAGTTGAATTCAGGGTTGGCCTTTTCTGAGAAGTGTGACAACCATGGAAATGGGTCTGTGTCCTCAAGCACCTTTGGTGTGAGCATCACCAAAGACCCTCCACCCTGTTCCTCCAGGGCAGGGGTCACCACGTTTCAGCAGCACAGCCATCCCAAGACGTCCCTATCTAACCTGAGATACAAGAGATGCCATGCAGACAGACTGTCTGGTCTAACTCCTCACCGCCCCAGATGAGGGGACAGGGAAGTCAGCCAACAGAGGAGGGAGAGATGTGCAGAGGAAGGATGTTCTAGACCTGGGGAGAGAAACATCCCTGCGGACAGGAGCGCCACACTCCCCGATTCCAGGTCCAGGGGTGGCCACAGAAATCTCGCCTGAGGCTGGCACTGTAGACCGAGGTCCGGCCTGGGAAGGCCATATCCTACCCGACGGCATGTGAGATGCATCGGAGGCCCATGAGAAGATTCGCATTGAGGAGGACAGGATCTGAGTTGTTTAAGGCGACTCACTCTGCCTCAGAGGGCTTCTCTCATAGCTCAGTTGGTAAAGAATCTGCCTGCAATGCAGGAGACCCCATTTCGATTTTGGGGTCAGGAAGATCCCCTAGAGAAGGGATAGGCTGCTGCTGCTGCTAAGTCACTTCAGTCGTGTCCGACTCTGCGACCCCATAGACGGCAGCCCACCAGGCTCCGCTGTCCCTGGGATTCTCCAGGCAAGAACGCTGGGAGCGGGTTGCCATTTCCTTCTCCAATGCATGAAAGTGAAAAGTGAAAGTGAAGTCAGTCAGTTGTGTTCGACTGAGTTTGTGACCCCATGGACTGCAGGCTCCTCCGTCCAAGGGATTTTCCAGGCAAGAGTACTGGAGTGGGGTGCCATTGAAGGGACAGGCTACCCACTGCAGTATTCTTGGGCTTCGCTTGTGGCTCAGTTGATAAAGAATCTGCCTACATTGCGGGAGACCTGGGTTTGATCCCTGGGTTGAGAAGATCCCCTGGAGAAGTGAAAGGCCACCCACTCCAGTATTCTGCTCTGGAGAATTCCATGGACTATATAGTCCATGGGGTCTCAAAGAGTCGGACAGGACTGAGCGACTTTCACTTTCACTCTGCCTCAGGAGATAGAATTGTGATGCACAAGGCTGGATGAGGGTGGTGATAGTGGCTGAGGACCCAGGGCCTGAGGAGAGAACTGGAAAGTCAGTAACGAGCACAGTGTTAGGTTTGCAAAGGAAAATTTAATTGAAGATAAACTTGCTCAGGTCAGGGGCTATGCCTCTTGGAGGAAACACCCTCAGATCTCAGCGGCATGCCATAGTGAGTTTGTCGCTCATTCATACTTGCGTCCAGTTGGACCTGATGGGGCCTGAGTGTAGGCAGGGTGGGCATGTGAAGGTCCTTCAGGGATGCAGACTACCCCGTCCAGGGGTCCTGGCTTCCCTGGGCCCAGCAGGCTCCCCCCGGTACCCTGCCGAGGACCA